TGCCTCTGTGGTGTAAGCCCAATACAACTGCCTGCTTCACGGGAGACGGCTCTCCCCTCGCTGTTGTTTGTGTCTGCACCGCGGGCGCTATCACACTGTGAAGAGCGTCCAAACGACTCTTCTTCACTTGAACGAGCTCCGCCGCTCGTTCTTGGAGACGGCGGCGTCGCTCAGCGTCACGTCGCGGCCACAGCGCAGACGGTCGTTTGCGCAAGCGCCCAACGGCCGCCACTGGCGCTACGACGAAGAGCTCTACGCGTTCAAGCTCGTGGAGGCGTTCATGTGCGGGTACTTGCATCTCCGTGACGGGTCGAAGCTGCGCGGGTTCGTTACCGGTGAGCTTGGCTGCTGTCCGATGCGCGTCTCCAAGAAGCTGGGCACGGGCAGGCTCTGTGGTCGGCTTTTGCCCCGACGCCTCGGACGGGTCGTGTACACGGAGCCTCGGCAGTCGTCGATCGAGTCGGATCAGTTGGCGCATGCGGCGCGAGAGGAGCTTCGTCGATTGCGGGATTTGTATTTGCGGTCAAGCGACTAGCTGGAGAACTTGTACATTCAGTTGAACGACCCTAACCTCCATGATGAATTCGAGTATAATCTCGACATGCTCAGTCCAATTACCTCTAAGAACACGTGAGAGGGTCGCAAGTGGCTGTACAAGGCGTGGTAGTCCTGTGGATTAAATTATACCGGTACTGGTATGTACTACCTGAGTATGAACTGCAACTTTACCCCACGTCGCACCCGTCATCACCTCGCCTCTGACGAGGTGTTGGCCTCTCCACAATCCGGCTCGAAAAGTGGAGCCTGAGCCGTTGGCTTTTGGAGCCAGCTCGAGCCGAGCCGCTTGAGCCGTGGAGCCGATGGGGCTCGCAAACAGGAAGGATTCGTATTCAGAGTCTCAAACCTTGTATTCGTACAACTGTAGTCAACTTCGGAATGTACTACTAGTATAGTGTAGCTAGCGATCGATCTCGTTGTTGTCGCACTAGAAGAATTTATGCAATAATGGTGGTTGGCCGATGATAAATGACTGCAGCCACGGCTTCTTTGGCTCGAGCGGTCCGGCTCGGCTCGAAG